ATTTTCCGGTCGATTTAAAGAGCCTGCCGTCTCCTTGTTTCACCCTGTAGAATTATCGCCGATGTGACCGTATGTTCGCATATTAGTGGTGTAACAACAAGATGAGATGACGTAAACTGTCGGGCATTGGTGCCGCTGTTCGGGCCGTGATCGGAGGAGGCGGGGTGATACTCCGTTTTACACTAAAGAGTGTAAGACCGCTTGAGTGTTTACGGTGCAAGCTATCGACGTGCGGATAGTCATGGTGGAACGCTGGTCTGGCCAATGTGACTGTCGTCTGCGATCTCCTGTTGTCTCCTCCCCGAGAGCGATTGCGCTTCGGGGAAAGGACTGAACTATACGGAAATATGACGGAAAGTACGTATATTTACAGTTTGGAATTTGAGCATTAAGAAAAAATGGTAAATAAAATCGAACCCCCCCCCCCCCCCAAAAAAAAAAACAAAAAAAACTATAATTTATTTTGCTGCAATTCCTGGAGAAACGATTCCTGGAGAAACTGCCCTCCAAATGGCGTGCTGGAATGAGCGCTAGACGTTTTCGAGCTCACCACAGCGTAGCTACGTGCACTTAACACCTGCCGAAAGTCGCGGCTTTGACTGCATAAAGTTGATCGAAAAGCGATTTCTCTACCCGTCAAGCTTCGCTTCCATGAGTGAACACCCCTTCTACAGAGATCAATTCAACACGACAACTGCAGCCGCGCGCGAACAGCACAAATAGAAAAACAAATACTACAATAGAAATATTGGTTACGACGTGCCGCGGGAGGAAGCAAACACATGGCTTGGAACCGCAGTGGAGCTTCTCGATTTATTGGCTTTCAAATTACACGGCATAAGCGTTTACTTTTTACTAAGAGATTCATTCCCTGAGCCGTTCAAAACACTCTAAGAAGAGGTATGACATTGCTGAAAAAAAAAAAAAAAAATCAACATGCTGGGAATATTTTTTATTGCTTAGGTGGTCACCGAGAAAATTCGTACCTTCAAAACGACCAGTATAAAAGGCGGAAACGCAGAGCACGGATGTAGTGATCGGGTTAGTGTGCTGTTGTATTGATGTTCGTATGTGCCGTGTATGTGTGTGCGCTCAATGTGTATATTCAGCTGATGCTAGTGGTATGCGTAATGTGTTTACATGTGTGTATAATAAAGGTGCCCGAAGGGCCCGAAGCGTCATGGTGGCGTGAACAAAACAATTTTTCTTTTTGCAGCACATGAATTGGGCGGTACCTAGCGCCACCTAGCCTAGCTACTTGCAATTGCTCTGCTAGACCCTGCCATCTGGTGACAAGTGATTTAACCGTCTTTCACGCTTCGCGATTATTTCTGGAATAGCCAAGTAGGCTGCTTCGAATTTGCACTTTTTGAAAGCGGCTTTCGGTTTCGCAAATGGTTTAACACTATTTCGTGATCAGTGGTTGATGAGGAAAATTTGGCTCGGAAATAGCAAAGCTAAGACGTAAAGTGTGTGAAGGAACTGGGTACCCGTTATCTCCATTTAACATCAAATTGCTGACGACGAGAAGACTGTATGACTCCTTTCGAAACCCAAGTTTGTTTACCTGCGGGGATCGCTGGCTTCTGAAATAAATACAGTTCGCGGAAAGCTCGTGTTAAGGGCCACCCACACTAGCGAGAAAACGCGCCCGGCGCGCCGATAAATCGGTTAAGCGGCAAGATAAAGGGCGTGTCTCTGCACGCGCTCGTGGCGCTGACTGTGCTTCGGCGACATTTTGTTACTTGCCGCGATCGGCGTGCCACGCGCGTTTTCTCGCTAGTGTGGGCGGCCCTTTACGCTTTGTGTGCTTCTCCGCTCGCCCCGTACAAGAGACGTAGCGTCCTCGCTAGGCCTCATTCAGCTCGATTCGCTCGATTCGGGGCGCCATATAGAGATTCAGACGACGAAGGAACTTTGCTTCCCAGCTTGCAGGGACGGAAGTTTCTCCCTTTCTAAAGGAACATAGGTTACAAAAGCGTTGCTCCCTTCAGGAAGGACTACCGGGTGTCCCAAATAGCGGCCAGGCTCTTCGAAGCAACCGCAAAATTCGGTTTCTTAACATATTGCCGCGCGCGCAGCTGGCCGAGTGGGCGGCGCGCGCGTGACCTAACGATTATCGTGCCTGCCTGCCACGGAAAAGGCCAGGGTTCGATTCCTGCGAGCGACGTGTCTTTTGTTTGTCTCTGCAATTTAGTTTTCTGGTAAATTCGAGAATCCTGTTGGGGGGCTTGTTCGAGGTCCGAATGTTCTACGCATCGAACATTCTACGCCGATTATTCCAGAAGCTCGGGCATATACAGTCGGCACGGAATGAAACGCGAACATGAAGCGCATGGTTTTCGACCCACGCTGAGTCACCTAGAGGCGCAACACCGAAGGTTTGGATGCACTGAGCAAGAGTCTAACACATCGAAGGAGGAGCCATGTTCTTGCAGCTCCCATCTGGTTCAGGTGGTGCAGCATCTAGCGAAAACCACGCACCCACTGTTCGCGTTTCATTCCGTGCCGACTGTACATAAGCGACTCCGCGTTGCGAGCTGCAGTCAGTCTCGCCCCAGCGTTCGAGTCTGCTGTCACGCCGACTTCGACGCCCGCGACGCTCCGCTTTATTCTGTTCCCTTTTTATTTTTGGGCACAAGTTCGCCCCCATTAAACGTTTCATCCCCAGTTATTCTTTGTTTCCGCGTTTGTTCCTTCGTGATACGATCATGTGCAGCGTTGCCCACAGATAGTGCACCTTTTTTTGTTGTAAAATTTGCAAAGAGCGGAGCTTCCCTGAGGAAAAAGTAAAAAATAAAAAGGCTTAACTCCTATGGAAATGCGGCGAAGCCACCGGTCTTCAAACGATAGGGAGCCCTATTGATTGGAGACCGGTGGCTTCGCTGCATTTCCATAAAAGTTAAGCCTTCTTTTTTTTTTTTTTTTACCGTGCACATAATCGCACATAAGGAAAAAAAAAAAAAAAAAACGGTAGCGACGTGCCGTCGCTACCGTTTTCCTCCACTCTTCTTAAGGTCAGCTCACACACTTGCGACTTCTTAAGACCGGAGAGGCTAAAAACCTGTTTTTAAGCCTTTCGTGACAGTCTACGTCCGGCTCCGCAGCAGCACAGTGGTCGTAAGCCGCCCCAAGAGGCTTAAGAGCCGGTCTTGTCTCTGTCGATCGTAGTCAAACGCAAGTGTGTGAAGGGCCTTTAGAGTGTTGGACACAACCGGGTTTTAAGTCGCTTGCGACTTCTTACAGCCGGCTTCACTGCTGCGCGGGCAGTCATAGGAAGTCTCAAGAGGCTTAAAACCCAGCCTTGTCTCAGTCAGCCGGTTGTGAGTCTTGTGAGATAAAGCGCGAAACACATGTACGACGAAACCGTCCAATCCGACGTCCGAACACGCAATGCGACGGTCGGAGGCGAGGGTTTTCAACGCTTTCCGATGCTGCGAAAACCCTCGCTCCCCAAGGTCATTCCGGTAGTCCGCACGTCGGATCGGAAGGTTTCGTCGTACATGTGTTTCGCGCTTAAGACCGGTTTTTAAGCCTTTTGTGTTGACTTACGACCGGCTGCATAGCAATCCAGTCTGTCGTAAGCCGTCACAAGAGGCTTAAAAACCGGTCTTGTCTTAGGCGGTCGTAGTCGAATGCCAGTGTGTGAACGATGTCTAAGTATGTGAATCAGGGCCCGTTCACACACTTGCGTTTGGCTACGACCGACTGAGACCAGTACAGTTTTTAGGCCTCATGTTAAGGCTTACGACCGGCTGCGCTACTGCGGAGCCGGCCGGAAGTGGTCAGGAAAGGTTTAAAACCCGGGTTTTTAGCCTCTCCGATCGTAAGCAGTCGCGAGTGTGAATGGTCTTTCGGCCTTTAATATAGGAGGTGTTTAGAAAATTTTATTTACAACAGTGGTGTCATGCCCATAACAAAACCAAAACCCGAGAACGCGCTATGTACAGTATATAGGTATTCACTGGACGCCATATTTGAGGGCAATGTTTAGAGTGCATGCTCAGAACGAGCTCACATTAATAGCCCGCTAAGACCGCCAACCTTGACGGTGCTAAATGCACGCTCCAAAAGGACTGCGGAAGCTCGCCGTCAGCACGCGCTCAGCAGCAGCGCACACGGATATGGCCGCCAGTGAATGCTCCATGTAAGAAGTATTCACTGGCGGCCATAGTTGTGGGCCCGACTGCTGAGCGCGTGCTTTTGACCAGCTTCCAGGGTTCTTTTTCAACGTGCATTCCACACCGTCAAAATGGCCGCGCCTCTTAGCAGCCTATTAATGGGAGCTCATTCTGAGCATGCGCTCTAGACAGCACCCACAAATATGGCGCCCAGTGAATACTCCTTATAGATTTCCTAAATATACCCAAGCACGAAGGTGTATGCTGTGAGTGTGGTTATACGCGCTGCACGTGCTGGCGTCTGCAGCAGTAGCTGTTCTAAAGCAAAAGCCCAAAACAAATGACATCTTGCACGCGCGTTCGTCATCGCTTCATTTTGGTTCTTTACTTTGGAATCTTTTATACGGGGACGGCGAGTGTATGCGGCGCGTACACCCTAGAAGAACTTGGAGTTGGGATAGTTGGTGAACGTCAAGAAGCATGGTGTAAGGCGCAAAAAACAACGGACACAAGGAAGAAGAAGAAGCGGAGGTAATTAAAAAAAAAAAAAAAAAAAACCTTTTTGTGAGTGGCTGAAAAAGACAAAAAAAAAAAAAAAAACTGTGTAACCCCCGGTGAAGCGCATGCGTGGACGTGAGGAAGGTGACGAGATATGTATTTCTTTCTAAACTTTTCAAACGCAATTCTGGGTGGCGCCTGCGTGTGTGTCTTCTTCCTTGTGCCCGTTGTTTTTGCGCCTTACGCAATGCTTCATATCCGCACTCCGAGCATTCTCGTCGATGCCTGGGTACGGGATAGGTCTATTCGCTAGGACAGTTGTGCTGGTCCACTTTCCGACTGTTTGTCGGCCTCTAATCAGTCTTTCTTCCGTCTTTTCAGACACCGCACTGCTGGACAGAAGCCACAAGGTCAGTCCCGTTGGAGTTCCTTCCCTCCCAAATTCAGTATCTCTACGATGTCAGAGGTCTCTGAGTGTACTGCACCCCGGTGCACTCAAAATACCAATCATAGTGGGATGTAACGGTTCATTTGGGATAATGCGTGGATATATTTATTTAACCGTTTAGCTTACAATCGGTTGGTGTTACGAGAACCGTCTTTTGTGGTGCGCGACTACGCCCACTTTGTGGCTTCCAGGCGTCCCGTGCTTCTGCATGGCTCGCCGCTCGGCTCTCTCCTGTCGGTGTGTTCGGTTGCATCCGCCGTTGTTTCGGCCGCTCAATAGGTCGTGTTCGCTAAACGTGGCGAGCACGCACATATTACACGGCACATAGCTCTTCCTGTTTTTGTTTTCTTAGCCGAGACAATGAGGAGGGCGCTCGATATCGTGCTTCAGTACACTCTATGCACTCTAAGGAATATAATTTTGTCGCTGAGAGTCCACTCTGAGGAATCCAGTGCGTTTACTTTCCCTCAAAGCCCTTGGGTGAGCCAATCACTGCAATCTGCTGAGGGAGCTCGGCGAATGATGAGCTCATTAATGGGATTAGATCTAAAAGCGTAGTCTGCGATGCGACGCTGAGCTTGACGTAATTACGCCAAGCGTCATGTTCCGTGTTAGCATAAACAAACAATAACTCTTTTTTGACAGCTGGTGGTTCAGGACTGAGATGAAAACAACTAGGGTCACTTTAAGAAACACAGGGAGTGGCAAGCCTCGGAAATCTTATTATCGGTACACAGGCTGCGGCATAACCGCTAAGAATGCTAAAAAAAAAAATAAGAAAAAAAAATGCCGAAACAAAAAATGTGAGATTGATAAGTCAAAACCTGCATTTCTTAAGCTGTCTGTGACTCTGATGGGGTAGATCTCGCTTAGTATATGGGTTGCGAACTCGGGCTATATATAGGGTGTCCCAAGCGGATATTTTGCTGTAAAACAGGCCGAACAATTTGGTGCCTGCCCATAGAAAGCTCAAACGTTCACGGAATGTACAGTGAATAGGTCAGTTCCACCACGTGAAATTTCAAGTTGTAGTGAAAAAAAAAAAAAAAATTAGAGCAAACAACTTGCCAATGTCGAGGTTGGGCGCGTTCGCAGACGGCTGAGTTATTGACAAGATTTACTTGAGGTGCCATTTCCCGATAGGCGCAGCGAGCGGATGATGCACTCTATTTGCTCGTTGCAGCTATCGGGAGATGGCGGCACAAGTAAATAGCGTCGCTAACTCGGTCGTCTGCGAACGCGCCCAACCTTCACTGGCAACTTTTTTGCACTTATATCTTTATAGGAAAAGAACCACTCCTCGAAACTTCCCACAGTAAAACCGACCCGCTCAGTGCACGATCGCTGAAGGTTTGAGCTTTCTATGTGCAGGCGCCGATTTTTTCCGGCTCGTTTTACAGCGGAGGGTCAGGAGAATACAGCTCGATGGTTCAAGCATGGCCAACAGCGCCGGATTTCTCCCCTGGCGGGCAATGCAGCCTGGATCTTTACATGAGTGACTTCACACAGCTACCGCAACGCACTGAAAGACTGAGTGAGGCGCTGTAGTCGCGGCTGCGGCCGCGCAAAGAACTCTAAAGCGCCATACGCACATTCGCGTTTGAACGCGTTTGAGTGCGTTGCGGAGTCCTTGCGGCCAGGCGCGGTCGCTTGCGGACCGACGCGCGCCTTCCCGCAACGCTCGGTAGCGCGACGCAAGCGAGTAGAGACTCGTTCAACTTTCCGAAGCGTTGCGGTGCGTTCGGGCGCGTTCGACCAATCAGAAGCCGAAAGAGGAGGGGGGGTGACGTGTTCGCTCGCCCCACCCGGCCGACTCGGCGAGACGTATCCGGTTCGCCGGTCGCAGAGCTTGCTTTTTCGTTTTGGAGAGCGGTGGACACTGTATTTTCCAAGGCTGCGATGGTTCAAGCTTGACAAAACGTCGGGGAAGCCGGCGAGATTGTCCCAAGATCGAACGCTTCGATGCTGTCGCCGTGCGCCGCCATGTTGCCTTGGATTTCGCTTACTATTGGTGAGCCACTCGCGACGATAGCGCGTTCTTATTGGCTCTTGACTGCGGTTGACTGCGTGTCAACGCAACTGTGCGTACAAGTTTGGCGCAAGCGGTCTTCGCAACGCAACGCGTCCGCTTGCCGCTACGGAACGCACCGCGCTCAAACGCGAATGTGCGTATGGGCCTTTAGGCACCGGCGCGCTGGCGTTGCCGGAGTTGCCGAGGCGCCTGTGGCGTGAGCTCCTGCTCGTGCGCTTCTAAGGAGCTTCGTGCGGCGCCCGCACTGTTTCGCAAATACTGCTTCGTGATATGTATTTGAGCTTTTTAAAGGTTTGTGTAGATATTGTGGTGCAAAACACAGCGGCAATTCCGGCTTAAAGGAGCTGTGCAACAATTTCAGGGCTTTGCTTAAATAATTGTGGAAGTTGATGCCTGACACTTCTGAAGTGAACTACAGAAAACAGTTTTTGCCTGGATACCCTAGCTTTTATTAAAAAAAATGAAAAAGATCCAGGTTTTTGCCGCCTCTCAACTCGTACATCGTCTTGCGGGTCACGTGCGCGGTGACGTCAATGGGGTAGGCGCGGGGTTCCAGTAAAGTTCTCTCTCTAGAGCCATCAGTGAGCAGCGAGAACTCATCCACTCGCGACCGCGTGACCACGTGGTGGCGGGCGCAGCGCGAACAATATGGTGAAAGGAGGAAAGTCTCATCCGGGTCCGGCCATACCCGTCCGGCTCTGTCCCCCTCCCGCTCCGGCTTCTGGCGGCGGTTCGCGGTAGCAGACAGAGCTGACGGTTTTGTGGGCCTAGGATAGATGGCGCTACTAAAACCCCGTATAATAAAAGTTTTGTCGATGATACCAGGTTTTTGACGCATTTATATGTATGTTGGAACGACAAGATTTATAGAAAAGTTACCTTTTATCGAGCAGGTATTCGCACAACTTGCTATATTTCTACAAGACCCCCATTGACGTCATGCCACGCGTTTTTCATGGCCGCCGCTCGCGGCTGCAGGTCAGTGAATATTCTAATTTTTGCCTCGCTATTACGCGGCGGAATCGCAACATGTCGATAGAAGGAGGTGTGTTTTCTGTCATTTGTGACAAGGTGAACAATGTCCAAAGTAGAAGATGCCAGTTCTTTCAACTTTAAAATCGTTGCACAGCTCCTTTAAACTCGAAACTTTTGTTATTTCGTTTCCCAACGGTCGATCGGTAAGTTCCGTTTCTCTGTCAGCGGTGATTAACGAAGAAGGATTCCTCGTATCGATATGCGTGTTTAAATTTCTGGGAGTGATCTGTGGAACTCAAACAGACCAGGATTAATTCAAGACTCAGATAAAACAATTCGCGGAAATGGAATTTGTGTGGCTCATTTTGAGCCGCTCATCTTCCCGAGCCCAAAAAGAAACCGCCTCAGAAAGAACGCGCGTTCCTCTGTCACGATTCGTTTTCATGTCATGATAGCTCGTCATGATTGTTTTACTTTTGTTTGTACATCTCCCGCTACATCGAAACATTTTAAACGCGCAACGGGATCGTTGAACCATCCTATTCGTTAAGGTGCATAACGCTTTTTTTTTTATCTTCGGTTGTGTACTTTCTGAGACATATTTTTGTAACTGCGAAATTGATCTTCGAAACCTTCCATTCGTAAACGTTCATAGTTTGTCAGTTTGTTTTTCACGTCTTTTCGTTTGACACTAGTTCGTTGATTCACACTCGTGGAATAGACCATATGCGAAATTGTTCGAACGTCTGGCAACACTTTGTGCGCTGTCATCTTTGTTGCGTCGAGATTCCTCTGCTGTCTGTCAGTTTCTTAGCGTTGTCGGTAACAATCGAGGCCTACTGCTCACCGTCATCGATCCTCACCCACACCTGCGAGCTGAGGGTTAGTATAGTTTTACGCTCTTCTTGCGCATGTATGTGCTCGTCGCCCCGCCGGTCGCTGGTTTATCGCCGCAACCAATATGGCGGACGTACACTTCAGCACGAAATTTGGCTTTGAGTGCCGGCAAAAACACGGTTGCGGACACTTGGTTTTCGAAAGCGCTTTCTCTGCGCGAGTGCTTGAGCGGGCGAAGGGTTCTAGCTGCGCTTTCTTGCACCGGCTTTTGCCAGCGCCGAAGTCAACTGGTGAGACGGAGCATGTTCTTCTGCGCCCTAATAGGTGGCACTGTGCACTTCCCATATCTAAAGTCCCTGTATCTGGGAAAAGTGGCGCATTCTCTTTCCTTCTCCTCTAAAAACCCTCTTTATCCTCCCCTCTAACTTCCGGTTTGCGACGGAGGCGCCCTCTGGAATTTCCCAAGCGTCTCGACGTCTCGGTCAGCTGAAGCGGTCAAGATCACTGATCTCTATGTCTATTTGCTGGATTGCGTTTGACCAGCTCCTCCTATGGACCGAAATGCGGTCACTGGCGGCCATCTTTAGGTAGAGTTATGTCATCTCTAGCCATCATAGTAATATGGCGGACAGCGCAATGGCGGCCGGGTGCCATAAAATAGCCGTGGATCTAGTACACTGTACCGTGGGAGATATTTCGTGCTTGATTCAAGTTGTTCGACGACGCAGATTCTTGAAACCCGGCGTGAACGGTAGCCTCATCTTTGAGGACACGGAGAAAGTTCTACGAAAGCGCGGCACCGGGGGAAAGCAGCGCAGCTCGCATCGAAAGCAGACTCCGTACCGGCGTCTGCTTTCGATGCTAATTTTGATGCGACTTTCGATGCGAGCTGTGCTGCTTTTTCCCCGGTGCTGCGATTTCGTGAAACTTTCACCGGGTCCTCAAAGATCGGGCTATCGTTCACGCTGGGTTTCAAAAACATGTTTCGTCAAACAATTTCAATCAAGCACGAAATATCATCCACCCTATTTTGACGGCAGCCTGCCACCACACCTGCCAAAACGCTGTCTGCCATGGATGGATTACAGTGGCTGCAGGAGCTGTACCTTGGCTAGAGG